TCCAGGATCGAGCAGGAAAAGTCGTTGACCTAGCTAACGGGAAGATTAGTTTGACAGCGGTTAATCCGGTTGATCCTCCTTATGAATCACTGGCCTGGGAGATAAGGAAGGGATACTACTCTAAACAGACAGATAATCCCAGGCGGTGACGTAGCCGTAGGGGGCATGGAGAAATAGGCCTTCTCATTTATTAGTACAGGGGCTCTCGAGGCAGGGTGTCCACCTCAAGTGCTAAGAGGTTCCGGGTTCAATCCCCGGTAAGGGCTAGGATTTTTTCACGTGGACTTAGACTTCTAGTAATTCCCCCTGGTCTCTGGGTAGTAAGATCGGACGCCCGTGTGCATTGTTGCGCACGTAAAAAAATTTCTTGGCAGTTGGAAATCGAAAAGAGTAGCCTAATGGCGCTGTCCGGGCAAACTTTAGAGTAAAAAATCTATCCAAAGTATTTCAGGATCCTCGGCGGAGCTACAGAGCCAGTGCAGAGCTTCTTCGGACTCGGACTTGAGTTAGAAAAAGAACGGAGCACTTATAGGTTACTACACGTGTGCCATGATGTTGATCCGTTGTTCAAACCTCAAACCTCATTTATCGGAACATGTGTAAAGGACCCTGGTGACACTTTCGCATCAGGCATATGGGGGTAGGTAGGTGCTTTGCGTGAAAAAAAAAAATCACCAGGTTCAACCAGCATCCCAGAAGGGGGAGTTTTAGGTTATAATTGTGACTAGGTTATATGCGCCATATAAAAAGACTTAGCACTGCACGCCACCATGTGGCCATGAAAAAGGACCCCTATAGTGTTGGTACAATCAAAGGAGACAGACCCAAATACTGCTGCGACTGGCCACGAAGTCGTCTACCGGCGAGCCAATGGACGACCCGATTGCCGATGTAATCAGGCAAATGAGGCTGTACTTCTGTTTTTAAAGACTGATCTACCACTCAACGGGTGATGTGATCCATCTCGCAGGCTATCTTTACTTCACACGACTTTTCCTTTTACCCCTCTAACGACAGTTTACGTTAGGCTAGTTAATAGGGCTGTTTAACTAAGCTCACTCAGGTTCCAAATGTTTGAACCGAGCATGAGGCATCTACGCCCTAGCATAGAAAGATCAATAATTTAGTACAACAGGCAGTAATCCGCAGGCCACTCACTAGACCTCCCTGGGCCAAATCTGGCCCTAGGGGCTCCAGTTGAATAGCCCTGGGCTAGTATTTGGTGCTGGCTAGGGCCGGATGTAGACTTGATGAGTCCCTAAGATATATAAAGCCCCTGCCGTTTATAACTGCACCAGTTAATCTCAGAAACATTTTCAGTTTATAAAGTAATAAACGGTGGAAGTTGATGCCTATCAAGCTGATTGTTTTATTCTCAACTTAAATAGGCTACAGCACGCTAGAATAAATAAAAGACTGAGATAATGTACTCAAAATAATATTAATACAATTAAAAAATTGTAAGAGAAGTTTAAATAAACATTAAACAAAATAAAGAAAAGAAAATTGCATTTGTTAAAGAAAAGGAGATTTTTCAGGCCTCTGCAGATTGTTGGGCCCTTAGATGTAGCTGATGCCCGAATCCAACGCTGGTTGGTGTGAGCGTCGTGTCAGTGATGAATGGTGCCAGGAAGGAGGGGCAGGGATTGACCAGCATAAAGATGAGCATAAGATTTAAGCGTAGGAAAATGCGTGAGGCCGGAGAGCTGATGAGTGATTGAGTTTCTTTCAGGGATAGTACCCCTTGTTATACCCATTAACTCTTTGTGAGTTTTAGGGCTCCAGTGTTTTTGAGGGGTGGGGGGGGGGGGGGGGGGGGGAGGGGGAGGGGACTGAATAGATCCACTGCCTCACTATTAAGCGTGTCATAAAAGGTGACTAGTGGTTTTACCCTCTGAATTCAGAGTGCATCTGTCTAAGAGGCAAGGAACCAACAGTCTGCATAAAAATAAGCAGATCTTTAAAACTGATGTATATGCAGAATTCAAGTGCAGGAAAATTATTAAAGTCCAGGGAGCTGCCTGGTCTCAAGGCATGGTGTCTGCCTCAAGTGCTAGAGGTTCGAGTTCAATCCCCGGCAAGGGCTGGGATTTTTTTTGGGACCTCTAGTAATTCCCCCTAGTCTCAGGGTAGTAAGATCGAATGCCCGTGTGCATTGTTGCACACGTAAATAATTCCTTGGCAGTTGGAAAGTAAAAATAGTAGTCTAAGAGACTGCCAGGGCAAAATTTGCGTACTCACACACTTTTCTTGCTTTTCCTATACATCTGGTAGCCTTGTAAGCATACACACACACTTTTCTTCCTTTTCTTAAACATCTGGGAGCCTTGTAAGCATACACACACACACACACACACACGTGTGCATGTGCACTCACACGCATAAATACAAAAATATACACACGTCCCTATTTATAATAAAATGCAGAATGGCGCTGCAAGAAGTTAACAGGAGATCTGGCCGATGCTCAACACTTAGGGAAAGGGTGAGATGGATATACAATCAGACGGTTACTGGTACCATCGGAATTGGAACTCTTCACCTGCTGGCGAAGACTGAACACTTATGGGAGTGTCCAGAGTCCTGTGATGTTGATTCTCAATTCAAAATTCTACATATAATGAAATGCATTCACTAGTTGCTAAGCCATAGAGCTGTACTTGTACTACATAGCTATACATTTGTTTCCTTGCCTGATAAGACTCAGATGATGACAATTTTAATGGATTTTCGTGTGCAGGAAGTTCAGGTGTGTGAGGCAGTTAGCAACTGATAGATTAGCTGCTTTCGCTGCTCTGAACGGTGAGCTACTTAATGGTAAAGTATAAGTGGTGAAAGCTCTCTGGGATCAAGCAGACAGTGTAACAGTACAGAGTATCGCTACCTTAAAAAACCCAATCTTTCTTCTTTGTTAACTGGCTGTAAGCTCCAGGAGAAAGTCCTGGTTGTTCGTCCATTTGGACTTTGGCTTTGTGCCAGGACCTGAATTTTGCATGTAAATCCATTTTGCTAACTTATTTGTTTGCAGTTGGTTATTCCTTGCCACTTGGGCTGATGCATTCCAACTTTGAATGAATCTCCCAGTTAGTCCACTCTTACAGCATGTTTTTTTTTTTAATAGGTTAGACAGTGAGTCTATTCTTGTTTTCCCCACCATGGGGCTCGGTAACACACACAGGAACAAAGACTAATTCAGCAGGCATGTGCCAGAGTTCTGGATAATACTCAGTGCTGAAGGGAATTAGTAGTACATTTTACCCCACTAGGACATCACATAAGCAATAAACACCAGATGACACAAAGTGCCACCATGTGGATGAGGATCACCCATGGAGAGGTCCCGGAAACCGTATTCAGCCATTCATCATCATCATCATCATCAGTTCTCGTTATGCCTAGTGGCACATGAGGCTTCAGAGAGGACTTTCCATGCTTTCCTGTCCTGCGCAATCTTCAGTGCAGTTTTCCATGTCAAAGGTGCCGCACTCAGATCACTTTCCATCGTTCGTCTCCATGTTGTTTTTGGGCGCCCCTGTTTTCCCTTTCCCTCTGGTGTCCATGTGAGAGCTGTTTTGGCGGGTATATCAGAATTCATATCAGCATTCAGCCATTAGACCATATTTATAGCGGGGCTATATTCCGGCCCCTGCTAAGAGCCAGGGTGGGGCTTCAAATAACGAAAAATTGCATCCACTAGGGGATGACAATTATAACTGACATTTACTGATGGGAAAACATTAGCAGATTTTATATGAGATATATGAGATTGCAGCTAGCACTTTCAGCTTGGGAACTTTTCATTGGCTACTGAAGAAGAAGATGGAATCCATATGGGAATATCCTGAGCTCAATGATGTGCAATTCTTGATTCCTTCATTCATTTTAGCATTGATTTTTGTGATTTGTTTCATATAAAAATATGAAATGAGAGGATTTTTGTTATTTGAAATATATTATTTTTTTTCAGACAAGAAGATCTACCAATTTCTGCAACAGCCATTATCCACTGAAGACTACCAGCTAGTCCAAGCACAACTACCATTACCAACTTGTCCAAGCACAACTACTATCACCAACCAGTCCAAGCACAACTACCATTACCAGCTTGTCCAAGCACAACTACCATTACCAACTTGTCCAAGCACAACTACCATTACCAACCAGTCCAAGCACAACTACCATTACCAACCAGTCCAAGCACAACTACCATTACCAACCAGTCCAAGCAGAACTACCATTACCAACTTGTCAAAGCAGAACTACCATTACCAACTTGTCCAAGCAGAACTACCATTACCAACTTGTCCAAGCACAACTACCATTACCAACTTGTCCAAGCAGAACTACCATTACCAACTTGTCCAAGCAGAACTACCATTACCAACTTGTCCAAGCACAACTACCATTACCAACTTGTCCAAGCAAAACTACCATTACCAACTTGTCCAAGCAGAACTACCATTACCAACTTGTCCAAGCACAACTACCATTACCAACTAGGCCAAGCACAACTACCAACTCTAGCACCATATACTGTTTCTAGTGAAGAATACCTACCTGCCTATAGAGAACTGTTTGTCATCTGTAAGATATTCCACTTTCCCTTGAATATCAGAACAACAGATTTAGCAGTGGTTTCATTGCCTTCTAATCACTAATGGTTATACAGAGGCAAAGAAATTTCTAACTTCATTTCTTATCTATTGATTATCAAAGAAAAAAGATTATTGTTTAAAATATTACTTTCTTTTGCAGTATAACCCCAAAGAAATCTGAAAACCAACAGGTTGGCCAAAATAAAGACATTATTGAAGCTTAAGCTGAAAAATATTTCCATATAAACATGCTGCAGATTGGCCCATTTTTCTCTGGGGCTTTCATGTTTTTCAACTGCCTGCCTGAAAAGATTTGGTGAATTATATTAGGACAATTTTATACACACAGATCTTAAGTTAGTAATTTGACTGTTTAAAAAAAAAAGAGATACAAGAACTGTGATAATGAATTTGTTTGGGTGGCGGAAGAGCGTGAACATCAGCGAGCAAGACCTGACCTTTAAAGTTCGTTACCTTGGTAATGTTCAGACCACTTTAATGAAAGGTGAAGGATGTGTTGATCGTCCTACAAATGCCATATGGAACAACTACCTTCGCAGCGACAACCTGGGGATTGAGATGACAGTTGTAGTCACTGCTTCAGGAATGAAAGCATATACCAAAGAGCAGGGTCTTACAGAATATCGAGCCCACAGAATATCTTACTGCATTGCACACCCTGCATATCCTCGCCTCTTTGTGTGGGTGTACCGGCACGAGGGTCGGAAGATGAAAATGGAGCTACGTTGCCATGCTGTTATGTGCAAAAATGAGGCAAAAGCCAAAACTATGGCTCTCCAACTGCATCAGAAACTCACATTTGCTCTCAAGGAATTCCAGCGAGAGAAATTACGAAAACAAAACTCAAGACTTACTGTTCAGCGCACCAAAGTATTGTCTAACAATGGCAACATCCTTCCTCTACGAACACAGCTTTTGAGCACAGCAAAAAATTTCCGACCACCTGTGTCAAAATCTCAAGCAGCACTTAAGCTTGGCGCCATCACAGAAGATGAAGAAGATGAGTGCATTGGTGCTGACGAAGAAGAAATGATTAAAATGAAATACCACGGACTAAAACGAGGAAGTGTGGGTCCTCGATTGCAGGGTAATAATAACAATGACATCTTTCTACCATCCCTTCCAGGAGTTGGTCCTTCTTCACAGCGTGAGCTCTTTCATCACGGTGAAGAGCACCATGACATCCTGGAGGCTTTAGATCTAGAATCGGCTGATTCCTTTGATGCAGACTACTTCAACTGTGACCCTATCATCAACCTTGAACTTGGTAATGACCTGAATGAGCTTCGTAAGGATGATGCTGTCAAGTACTGCATGAACAACAATTCCGACTCGGATGAAGAGAGCGCAGAATCAGGATATCACGATCAAGACCAGGATGCAACAGAGTGTGAGAAGGAAAAACTGAGAAGTAAAGAGCCAGAAATGACAGAAGATGAAGAATATGCAGTTGTGATTTGTCAGTTACCCTCTATGTGACTGAAAGTGAGTTTTAATAAATTAAATATGGCGCACCGTGCCACATTAATGTGAAACTAAATTCTGATTCAATCAGGAATTAAAGACATTGTCAAAACATTTATCTGCCGACAATAAATATTCAGATATATGTAATGTGTGTGATATATCTGCACATATAATACATATAAGCTTATACACCAAGATAAACTGAACATATATATGATGGTGTGTTTTATACATATATATATATGTGTGTGTATGTGTGTGTGTGTATACACACACACACACACCCACACAAAACAATAGAAACCTAGCATTTCTTTGTTGCTATAGTACATATGGGTGTAAATATGCACAGAAACTAAGTATTTCTTTGTTGATATAGTATGTATTGGCACTTTGCCAGAGTCACCTAAGTGCTAAGTCTTTGTTTTGAACATTGAGATCTCTCCTTAAAACTGCAGTTGCATGAAAAGTAATATTTCATTTTGATCATTTTGGAGAAGGAATTCACACGTGTGCCTTTGGTATTTGTAAAATGTCAAATAACTGCCTTGCAGTTGGGCTTAGGTGACTTTAGCAGTATGCAGCCAAACTTTGTGATCTTGTTTGTTTGTTTTAGTATCCAGAAGCCATGAGTTGATAACACTTAGGCTCAGTATTATGGATATCGCAACCCTTCGGCCTTGATTCCATGATAAATACTGTAAATCTGGTAGAAATACGGCTTCTCTGCCTACCCCCAGGAGTGAACCCGGACCACAAGGAGTTTGTCACCCGGTTACCGCGCAATCCGGTTTAGCCAACTACGCTAGAGAGCCAGGCCTGTGATCTTAAATAATATGACCAGTATGTTTGAAACAAATCACTCCTTATCCTGCCTGTGTAACAGGCATGTAAACTGACGACATTCAGCAGTGCTGGGAACTTGCAAACAATACTTCTTCTTCAGCTTCCTCACATTCATCAGCTGTAAAACTCTGATGCAAAGTCCTGGTTGTTCGTCTAGTTCTGGGCTTGTTCTAGAACTTGAGTGTTGTCAGCACATCTGTTTTACAGATATGACTATTGTATGTGCAGAATGTTGGTTGCTTATCTCTCAGGCAGATGCACTGCAAATTTTAAGGAAACATTATTCCTATCTGCTGTGTTGAGACCTGCGGTTGAGAAGGTCTTTCTAGAATGAACAATACAAGTAACATAGATTCCAAAGAGTGTTATTGAATGCAGTGAAGCACAACAATACGGAAATACCCAGCAAAAGATGCTCACTCAGCAAAAATGTAAAACATACATCTTTCTTCTTCTTCTTCTTGTCTTTCACCTTGTACCTCAGCTTTGTAAAATCTAAAATGAATGTTGAATATTAATCAAGATCCAGCATCACAGCATTTAGCACATTCCCATAAACACTCCATCTCCATCTTCAGCAGCGAGTGCAGAGTTACAGTTCCAGTGGTACTAGTAACAGTCTCATTGTAATATATTCATTTCATCTTTCACTTGAGAGTGTTAAGCATCAGCCAAATCCCCTAGTCACTCCATGCAGCACCATTCTCCTCAGATAGTAATAATCTATTTATGCCTCCACACTGTTCACTTTCTCCCAAAGACCCTTACAATATCTAGCTTGTCGTGCATCAGTTCACCATCAGCTGTCATGCGTCAGTTCACCATCAGCTGTCATGCATCAGTTCACCATCAGCTGTCATGCATCAGCTGTCGTGCATCAGTTCACCATCAGCTGTCATGCATCAGTACACCATCAGCTGTCGTGCATCAGTTCACCATCAGCTGTCATGCATCAGTTCACCATCAGCTGTCATGCATCAGTTCACCATCAGCTGTCATGCATCAGTTCACCATCAGCTGTCATGTGTCAGTTCACCATCAGCTGTCATGCATCAGTTCACCATCAGCTGTCATGCATCAGTTCACCATCAGCTGTCATGCATCAGTTCACCATCAGCTGTCATGCATCAGTTCACCATCAGCTTGTCATGCATCAGTTCACCATCAGCTGTCATGCATCAGTTCACCATCAGCTGTCATGCATCAGTTCACCATCAGCTGTCATGTGTCAGTTCACCATCAGCTGTCATGTGTCAGTTCACCATCAGCTGTCATGCATCAGTTCACCATCAGCTGTCATGTGTCAGTTCACCATCAGCTGTCATGTGTCAGTTCACCATCAGCTGTCATGCATCAGTTCACCATCAGCTGTCATGTGTCAGTTCACCATCAGCTGTCATGCATCAGTTCACCATCAGCTGTCATGTGTCAGTTCACCATCAGCTGTCATGTGTCAGTTCACCATCAGCTGTCATGCATTAGTTCACTATCAGCTTGTTATGCATCAGTTCACCATCAGCTGTCATGCATCAGTTCACCATCAGCTGTCATGCTTCAGTTCACCATCAGCTGTCATGCATCAGTTCACTATCAGCTTGTTATGCATCAGTTCACCATCAGCTGTCATGCATCAGTTCACTATCAGCTGTCATGCATTAGTTCACCATCAGCTGTCATGCATCAGTTCACCATCAGCTGGTGAGGAATCAACCAGTCTGTCTACCTGTTCATTTTACAATACAACATCATGAGCTGGAGAAAATATTTAAAGGATGCTAACTACCCAAGACCTCTGAAGTGATGCTTGCCACTCTGCATGGAGCATACCTGTCTCCAGCTTTCTCAACGGGCTCTGCAAGTCAGTTACACAGTGCTTAGCTGACTCTTGAGCCAGTGACCACCTCCACCTCCATTCTCAAACTAATTGTTGTGGTATCATATGCCAGGCTGTGTTGCACCAAGTGATGTCCATTTGCCGTTATATAAACCACCATACACTTTATCTGCCTCTGAACATAGAGCAATCTATATAGATAATCACATTACTTGGGCAAAAACCCTCATGAATTATGTAGAAACTAAAGCAAATGACAGACATGGAAGAGAGAATTAATGAACAGATACATGGTAGACAGTCTTACAGTAATTACTCTAATAACTTTTACATGGTAGAAAAGATACAGACACACATTCAGGACAGTTTCATGAAATACACAAAGACTGTCATACAGAAACAAGTATTTGATTAAGAAAGTCAGAGTGGTGTTTCCTCATGGTAAATTTAGACAATGAAGATACAAAGAACAGATTGCACAATTTACAGCTTGGTATATTCAGCTGTACCACATCAGATGCGTATGACAGTAGCAGTTCCAGACTGTGATGACCTGTTTTTATGTACTCATTCCTAGAGAGTCTTGGCCATTTCTAGTTGTTATGCATTAATTTACCATTTAGTGGTGCAGATCCAGCCAATCTTTATTCAGGTTTGTTTCCAACTCACCTGTAAGCCTCGGGGAAAATATCCAAATGAGGCTAACTACCCACCCCTGAAGCGGTGCTTGCTACTTTGCATTGAGCATGCCTGACCACATCTTTTTAAAAAATACTGCTTACTTTGTGAGTCTGTTACAATCACATCATGTCTTTAGAGCTGGTTCTCAAACAAATGGAGAGCTGCAGTGGCTGCCTCCACCTCCATTCACTGACTAGATGTTTTGTTATCATGTACCAGGCTTTGTTACACGATGAGGATCATCCATTTGTTTTTGTTATGAACCCCCATGCACATCTTCTTCTAAGTCATTAGAAAGTGAGTTGCGACTGAAGTGTGAAAGCTAGAATAATAAATGTTTTACATATAATACCAAAAAAAAAAAAAAAAAAAAAAAAAAATCTGCTAATGGACATAGAGAGCAAATGGTTTTATGTGAGACTTGCCTATTAGTTTGTTGGCCCATTCAGTTCTAGAAGGTGGGGACAGGAAGGGTTTTCTGGAAATGTCTAAAGAGCTTGAGAATGAGAGAGAGAATAAATACAAAAAAATATCATGACCATTATCAACTGTATCATAAATGTAAATGGAATGTTATTTATTCATACATGTTGCCCAATATATATGACTGCAACAGTCTGTAAATACACAAACGGAAACCTTTGTAAACACACACAAAGAAGGAAACATCATGTAACTTGTAAATTCATGAAGTATGTTGTTCTTAAATAAAAGCTAACCAAAAAAAAAAATGATTGACATCCAACCCATTTCTCTTCTGGTCATTGTGGTGTCAAATTATCTAGTACCAGAGAGGGAACCACACTGAGGGAAAAAAAAAATCATTGCAAGTCAGACTTGAACGTTGGCTGCCTGCTTGCAATTGGCAGGCCGTATTTAGACACGGGGCGGCAGCATTTTTGGGGGAGGCAAAATTGCACAGCTTACTGTTTATTGTCTGTAAAAGACTAGCAGTGTTGAAGTTTAGCTGAGGAAAGTAAAGAAAAAAGAATCCTTTTCATGCCTTTAGGTAAATGGGAAGAGCGCCCATGTTTTTTTACAGAACATAGGCACTAGGTGGGTAATGTGGTCAGCATTACGCCGGCCGTCTTTACTTCCCCAGGACAGCCATCCCGGTACCCATTTTAGGCTGGGTAGACCTGCGACGCCCTATACCAAGGTAAAAATCCACGCAGCCAGCAATGGGTTTCGATCGCAGTACATTGAAATTACGAGTCGGACTCGCAACGCCTAAGCCGCGGACGCCGCTAGTTGGGGGAAGAGGCTTGTAAAATAAATTTCGGCAGTGTTATCATAGATCCTTGATACAGCCTTGGTTATTGGTTTTTGTGCACGTATGTATGCCACAATATTTTTTTTTAAACAGTTATTCCGTCCCAATGTGGGACACAGTTTGTCGTATTCAAAGCCCCACGCTGGCTGTTGCCAGGGGCCCTAATGTAACCCAACCTATGGGTTGAACGGGGTTTCTGTGACCTGTCCCTGGGTGATCCTCATCCAAAATGTGACATTTTGTGTCACAGGGTGTTTATCGCTTGGTGTGATGTCCTCGTGGGGGGGGGGGGGGGGGGGGGGGGGGGGGGGGGGGGGGGGGTAGAACGTCGACCAGTCATTGAACATTTTGCCCCAAATTATGCGTGTGTTGTCCTAA